TAATGTACTCTGATTTCATATCAAATGTCAAAAAGCTTTTCAGCGAAAATTAATTCCAGCGAAAATAAAGTATTCCACAGTATATAAGCAATAGAGTAATATAAATATATAAGCATGAATTGTCTATATTATGCACAAAATGTCAAATACACAATCTCTTTTAATTTAGGATGAATTTGAACTTAGACAGAGGGTTTTCAACCCGCCTATTCACCTAGTCCATACCCACCATAGACTATTTTGAACTGTATGCATTAATCTGCAATTCAGCCAATGACGGAGAGAGAAATCTAGGTCAGGGGAAGCCCCATGAGCTCACAGTTCTTCTTCCACATCACGTAACATGTGAACAAGGTCAAGAGGTCAGCGCCATCTTGCCTTATGTTGACTCCCCTGTTTTCTCTTAAAGCCAATCACTACGGAAAGTGGGGTGGTTGGGAGGAATCTGGATTATATGGTTGATATGAAATAGGTGAAGCGGATGTCCTCTTGTGGTGACTTCGTTTCCAGAACACGGAGTGGCAGGTACCGCAATGGGTAGCCTCCAGACTGTTTCAGCTGTGGGACGGTCTTAAGATAGACCTATTTTCTACAACCAGGAACGCTCAGCTCCCGACATTCGTGACCCCAGGAGCATGGGCCATGGTCACATTATCGATCACGTGGGCCCACATAGATGCATACACCTTTCCTCCCTTCCCACTGATTCACCAGGTTCTGGAAAAACTTGACAGGAACACACCTGCATCTTGACACTGGTGGTGTCAACTGCCAACTAAGGCCAGGTTGGTAATTGCCATCCACCAGGGCATGGTATCTCTTGTTGGTCCGAGAGAGAGTTACTTGCTTCTTCAGTTCTCGTAGGTGAGACCGGTGTTGCAACAAAGTGTGTTGCACCGGCGGCTGCGCAGTGCAGCTTGGGGAACTACCATCCAAACTGACGTTGTCATTCCAATGATGTGCATAAGTTCTCGGAGAGACACAGAGGGAACGCTGACTAGACGTTCGATAGACTGCTTCATTTCTAGGCAACTAACCTGCGATAGATGCACCAAGTCTGCTTCTTAGTCGAAAGCCTAATTGGTGTAGTAAATCCTGTGTTAGCCTTATCTGCTCGACCAACAACCCCTTGCTTTGGTTGTGTATGGGTTAATGTGTACTGACGACTAATACAGCAGCACCACCGCCTGTTTCAACTCTATGGTGAACACGTATAGAGCTGTGCATAACCCGAGCACCCAAATTTGAGGGGAGCACCCAAATTTGAATACTTGGCCCAAATGGACGAATCAAAGGAGTTTGGAGTCTCCATTCGGGACCGATTGAGGGGCACATACTGATTTATCTTGCTTAGATCCAGAACTGGACACTGGCCACCTGTAGCTTTCCGAACTACAAACATGTGTGAGTAGAAGCCCGGACACGCTTCAACCACCCATGGAAGAGGTGGATCCACCACCTGGTCCCTTCTGGGGGTGGGGCTCTTCTCTTCCCCGGGAAATACTCCCAAAAATATGAAAATATTTCACTGTAGGCAAATTTGCCTTTTCGTTTTTTTTTGCCTAAGCAGAATGGTGTACACTATGCACAAGTGTAAAAATGATAAACATTCAAAAATGTTATCAATTTGGGAATCAGGAATTAAGCCATATCGCCCTTGATTTTCTAATATGGTACACCTCTTAGTTCATGTAATTAAGCAGACCAGGTGACAATCCTGTCACTTGAATTAAACTATTACGTTTATCAATTCTTGTTCAACATTTTTCTTCTCTCAACGTCTATAATTTCACCTTGATGTAACTCGGATATACTTAAAAAAAGAGGATCCATTCTTATTAAAGGAATATAAACATCGAAACATGTAGAATAAATAAAATAAAATTGCTGCCAAACTTGGTATTGAGGGGCTGCGCCATATGTATACACACAATACAACCATACCCTAATCCTTCTCTAGATCATAGATCTATTTTCAAAATGCTACAACCACTCTAGTGTTTGTAGGTTAAATGCTGTTTGACCAAGCTTTGTTTTGGGATGCACTATATGTCATGGGATACAATAACTGTTTATCCATTCCCTCCTTCCCCACTCACGACACATACTAATAAAACAGAACTGGCCAAGTACGGTATGTTTCCCCTTGTTATCACTGAACACAATACTGACACATCTGACAGGTCATTTACCAACACACCTACAATAGTCTAGAGGTTGAAGTGTAGTGTTTATGATTATAATGGTGGTGACCAGTGAAGTTGAAGTTTGCACTGTGAGATATGTCAAGTTGAGATAAAATGTGTGGTCTAGTTGGTGATGTAGTTTGTTGGCAAAGTTGTTAAGATTAAATGGTAATGTTGGAAACAAAGTATTTATCATGTTAGTAGATATTGTCTAAAGGCCTGCAAAACCTGCAAAGCTTGGTCACGCAGCATTAACACCAAGTGGTTGAAGCATTTTGCAAATAGATCTATGCACATCTTGGCCATTGAATAACTGGTTTACTGATGTTTGGAACATTGAGACCCATTAAATTCCCTCTGTAAGAATAGACATTGATGCAACAGCATATGCTATGGTAATTTGCAATTTACTCCCAGCTGAATGTTGTTAAAATGGCACCCAAAAAGTATTTTAATCAGATGCTTGAATTTACTGCAATACTAATGCTTGTGTTACAAGTATAATAGTTGAGTTTATTCAATGAGGTACACAGTGGAGTATGGAGAGCTGTTAGAACAAAAAATGAATCCTTTGCTGGTCTGTTTAGAGAGTGCCTGACTTAACTGCCTACCTTGTGCTAAAACAGCTGCTGAATAAATAAATGTATAGCGGAAAGTATCTCTTTGGTTGTTTTATAATTTCAAAAAAAGCTTTTGACTCCATCTGACATGCGATGAACATAAGTTCAGCAACATTGAACACTGAAACATTGTAAAAGCTAATAGAATGTATGAAAATTAAAAATGGTTTGGCCAATACTTTCCATATTGAGAAAGGCATTAGACAGGGAGGTGGGTTAAGTCCCCTGCTTTTTAATTTATACATGAATGAAATTACAGAACAAAGAATTTCCTTGCACAATGGTCCACCAACTCTGTTAAACAACAGCTTGCATGCCTATTTTATGCAGATTATCTGCTTTTGCTCTCAAAATATGGCCTACATAATGCTATTAACGCCCTGCAACCATGCAATTTAAGACATAGAAGCTAGGAATTAATATTACTAAATCAAAAGTAATAATTTTCAATAAAGCAGGTAAACGTCTAACCAAATTTAAATTTTATATCAACAATGAAGAGTTAGAAAGAGTAATTTCATACACTTATCTTGAGATATATATTTAAATATAACAGGCAGATTAGATAAAACACAACTACATCTGAAAACAAGGCTTTAAAAGACTGCTTCAAAATGAACCAAATACTATCTTTTCGGAATCATGTATCGCATTGCCAATTCATGTGAAAATGTTTGGTGCAGTAATTAAACAAGTCATACCGTACTGTAGAGAAATATGGTCAGGTGACATCGTTAAACACACAAAGGATTTGTGTAACTTTGCAGCTCCAGTGAAAAAAAATACACATCACATTTTGCAAGATTTTGCTAAAATTAAATAGCAGGGCTCCCAATCCAGCTTGTTTACTCGAGCTAGGGAGATACACTCTTGTCATCAAAATGTGGATATGGGATTTGCCAGTAAAACACTCATGAGCAAAGCATATAAGCTTGGTTTGAAAATGCACAACTTATGTACACAACACTGGATGTCTAGTGATTCAAATATTAGATGACTTAAAACTCAATTGCCATACCTCATCAAGTTGTGATTGTTACACTCCTGAATTTTAGCATCAGTCTCAGCAGGAACTTTAACCTTGTGTTATTGATAGGTAGATCTCGCCATGAGAGATATGTACTCTGCTGATCAATATTTCAATGGATCAGATGTGACTTTGGCGAATAACCATTGTTTTGATAACTACAATTACCCCGAACTATTAATAAGCCAGTTTGTATGACTTAAGTGAGGACAATGTGAATACCTATAAAAATTGGCAATTGGAGTCTAGTAAATGTAGTTTCACCATAAATTTTCCCACGTGGTCTTTAGAGTATACCTGCCATAATCTAGTGAATAAAAGAGAACGTTATCAGCTTTTGTTGCTCTGTGTCACATATATTTTTGTGAGCAGGCATTATCGACCACAAAGCTAATGCAGATGAGTATATTTGATATCCTGTCTTTCTCGTGTGGGATATGGGGTCAGTGGTAATTATATTTACTTTATTTTCAGTTCGACAACTTAGTCGCGAGTTTGTCCGCGCAGGTGCTGATGTTGTGCAGGCATTCACATTCTACTCAACAGACGATAAATTAGAACATAAAGGAGTGTCGGACAGAAGTGTTTCAGAAGATGTTGGCAAGATCACGGTAAAATATTTTGTTGGTTTTGTGATTTGCATGTTTATATGGAGATTCCTTTAGCAGTTGGACCAAAGTAAAATGCACATCCACTAATTTATTCTTGGTTTTTAAAATATATAACACAAGGCTTGTGCATAATTTGAACATTTACTCATGTTATATCAACTTTCTCTTACACATTGAATTATATTTGTTGACTTATAGGTACTGTGGTTTGATTTGTTTCTGTTCAAACTTAGTTTATTAATTTAATTAACAGAGTAAACAGTTGAACAACGCTGCATGTGACATTGCTAGACAAGTGGCAGACGAGGGCGATGCATTGGTATGTGGTGGCATATCACCAACACCTGGCTACATGAAAGGTTTGGGGAAAGAAGTTGTACAGAAAGAGTTTGATAAACAATGTGAGGTTTTCATTGAAAAGGACGTCGATTTTATGCTGGCTGAGGTGAGTAGCAATGATGTACATGTATAATGATTCCACACCTGGGCACATAAAAAAATCTTCATCAAATGAATACCATTACATTATGGTCATGAAACGTCTGTCAACAACTTGTGTCAAAATGACAGATTGTGATTATAAAATGAAGCAAACGAATCTGTTCAATGATCATTTTTTTCTTCTATTTATTTATAAATTTTAGTTGAAATAAACAAATTCCAACCTGTTTCATTTTTAAACTGATAAATTTAAAAAAGAAGGAAATGGTTTTGTTGTTTTGATAGTATAAGCATTCATCAAGATGTTTTGATGAATAATAATGAAACCAATACTAGTTAATGTTTTGATTTCAATATTATGACTAAAATGAACAGTATATATAGTTGTGTATATCATAATATTTAATGTATGTTTCAGTTTTTTGGTCACGTGGAGGAACTTGAGTGGGGTGTTGAAGTCATGAAGAAATATGGAAAACCCGTAGCTGCAACTATGAGAATCTCAACAATGGGAGACATGAATGGGGTTAGCACAGCAGAATGTGCTATCAGAATGGCTAAATCAGGCATGTACTAGAAGCTATTTCATGATGTAATTAATTTATTTGATTTTTTAAATTAGCATTATAATGACATTGATGTCCATTGTGACAATTCAAACCTTGCTTTCAGAGGCGTATATAACTTACATTTAACTTGTGTTGTAAATACTACTGGTATCCTATCATCAACACGAATCAAAATTGTCAGCTTTATCAAGGTTATAAATATTCATTACGTTCAAGCAAATATCTACAAACCGTGCTGGGCTTATAAAATAAAGATTCTAATATTTGTGTATGGTTTTGATGATACAAGGATCAATCAAGTTGTGAAGAATATTTCCTATCAATTTTAAACGACAATATTCAATTATCCATGATGGTGTGAAGAACCAAATCGTTTAGCTTGAAAAGTTCAGTATAGAATATTTAAAATTGTTTCGCTCTACATCTTCTTTCTTCTTCTTTAGTCCATAGCTTCAGGAGGCCGTTGGTGCACCCATGACCAGACGCACCTCCTCCAGCCCAATCTGTCATCAGCAAGATGATAAAGCTGCTCTCGTCTGTCGTCTTCCCATTCTCTTCTTGGCCGTTCTCTGTTTCTGCATCTTTCAACCTTCCCTTGCATAATACGTTTTGTTAGACTGTTTTTCCTCGATTGGTGTCCAAAAAATTGCAATTTTCTTTTCTTAATTGTTTCAATTAGATGTTCTATTGTCCTTCTTTCAGTTGGTCTTTTAGTTTCATTTATACCTCTTAGTTTCGAATGTTTTGTCGCCATGTGATACCAAAGAGTCCTCTGTAACATTTCATTTTGAATGCATTTATTTTCGTCATTGTCATAGTCCAGCTTTCGCATCCGTAGAGCATCTCAGACGCTACTACTGCTCGCATTAGGTTAATCTTGTTTGCCAGAAATATTCTTTGCAGCCCATATTTTTTGAAGTCGTGCCAAGGCACTGGTTGCCATTAAATATAATTCTGTTCTTGACTTCTGTTTCGCTGGAAACAATCTTCTGGGATTGTTGACCCAAGATATTTGAAGCTGTGTACTTGTTCGAGTTGTTCACCCTTTACCTCTAACTAATATATCATAGATGCATCTATAAATTCGTTTTGTTGATAAGCACCATTCATTTCTATTTTCATACTACAAAATTGACATGCTTTAAATGTAGCTGAATGTAGCTACTACATGTATATTAATAATTAGTATTAGTCTACTTGGTTATTTATACATGTATTGTTAATCAGATAATGACAGTAATGGCTATTTGAAAAAAATGTTGGTTGACATACTGATGAATAATTAATTACTGCTGTTACAGGTGCTGATTTGGTGGGCATAAACTGCCTATTTGATCCAGAAAACTGTATAAAAACTATGAAAGTAATAAAGTCTGCATTGGATGAAGCTGGATTGAAGCCTTTTCTGATGGCACAACCAGTTGGGTTCTACACACACGAGGCTAACCAAAGTTTTGGAGGGTATATGGCATTGCCAGAATATCCACTTGGTAAGATGAGATTTAGTATCCAGAACAGATTATATTATTTGCATAAAAAATCTATAAACTAATGCAATCTAATTACATTTTTGCCAGTTATTTATTTACCACCAGACATCACTTCTTATATGTATGGTGTTGTAAGTTAGTGATTTAACTTCATTGATTGTAATTTAGGAAGGTGATTGGTCTTGTCATTTCTACCAGGTTACAGTTATTGTTTCTGAATATAACTTGGAAAACCTTTATTATAAAGATAAAACAAATACTCCCAGAAATGCCCGTTGACAGGCCTTGGGGTTTTAAAATTGAAAGTAACTCTTTTTTCGACTGGCATGGGGATTATGTTATAGGTAGTAGTAAGTTCAATTGATACTCGTTTATTCTCTCAGCTATGGAATCTCGTATAATAACACGGGCTGAAGCACACAAGTTTGCACGTGAAGCCTATGAATTAGGGATACATTACATTGGAGGATGCTGTGGATTCGAACCATATCATATCAGGGCGATGCAGAGGAGGTACGTATTCATGATACGTTATTTGATAGGAAAGTGTATTCATTTAACTCACAGAATTGTCAAGTGAAAGTGTATAGAATATATTAGCTAAATTAGCAAATACACTGTGCATTATTTGTAATACTGACGATGTATGGCCTTTGAATTGAAACGTGGTGCTATAACCTATCCTATTTTAATTAATAGTTGGCAGAAGAGAGAGGATTCCGCCCACCGGGCCATGATAAAAACTCACTGTGGGGGATAGATATGGCGCAAAGTAGCTTCGAATCCCTGACACATAGGTAGGTATAATAATACATGACTTCATACACACATGTAGTATCATCATCCTACAGTATACGTCCATACATAAATTTGTAGGTGATTTACAACACTGTCAGCTATCTCAAACTATTATAGTTCTGCACTCAGAATTGCATGTTGACTGTACTGCGATGTCACACTCATCAGGTCTGTTTTTTGAGGTTGTTCAGGAGGTGCAAGTTACCCTCAAATGCTGGACGTGAATATAAATATAAACGTCTAGTTATTTACTTGAGAATAAACATGCTTATGATGATAAATACTAGTAGTTTATTGTAGTGTCATTGTAGTTTACTTATACAGCGTTGTTTTACTCCTCTGTTCTGGGGACAATATTTTCATTTCATGACATACTTGCCGTTAATATTATATTTTAGTAGCTTATAGAATAAGCCACTCTTATAATCAAATACAAATAATCTAGTTTAGTCTAGTCCTGTCACCTTTTATATTTAGTGACAAATTGTGGTTACTGCCCTGAAGTAAGGGCGAACCTAATTATGTTTGTGTAACCACAACCTGATAATATTATGTGTTACCTATGTGTTGTTCAATTCACACACGTTAACAAAGCATGCATGCAGACGCCAAACACTATAAGGTAGTACATGTACCGTTAAATTGTATTATTCTAATCGTATATGAATCAATAAAGTCGTTTAAATTGTCTAATTTTATTATTCATTTGTTATTACATTTCAGAATCACGAAAGAATACTGGATGAATTTAAACCCTGCCGCGGGGAGGGTTGGTGCGCCCGATCTGGCAAAAATAGATAAGTTTGACGGATAGCACGGTTATGTAATGAAACTGCTGGATTTTACGTTGGACTTCAAGTTCAGTAATAAAAGAATCTATTAATTCGTCTATAATTTCTCGTATTGTAATAAGTCTATATAATAAATCTAACTGTGGCATCAGCTTCACTTCTTGTACTTCATTGTGTCTACTCATTCCAATTATATTTTACGTAATGAATTACTACAACTTAGTTAATTGTTAATTAACATTGTGCATTAATGTGTAAGACTCAAATCTTCAAAAATTGGTGAAAATGAAATTTCCTCTGACTTCAGTTCAGGAAATTGGTTTGGCTGTGCCAATTATTTTGGGATTAAAGTATTAGTTATAAATTAGGACGAGAAATGCCAGCCTTGTTTTAATGAAGATTCAGCCATCATCAAAGCTTGTTCTGAAACGAAGCTTGACATTGGGTGTAACATATGAACTCAACCTAACTGTGGTAACTGTAGTAGTACATGTCCGAGCACTTGGTGAAAGGTTTGGTATGCAACCTTAAAGGTAAATATTACGACTAGGCGCGTTATGCGATTGTTAGACTTATCTGCAGTGAGTAAACGCTTTTAGGTGTATAATTTGCTGGGTTAAAACATCTAGAGTTTTCACTAAAGAGTTAAAGAAACAAACACAAATTCAAGACATTCGCAGTTTTTATTGTGTAATAATGGGTTATCTGCTCCACGGAGTACTCGAAAAGAGGTGTTAAAATGTTCTTCACTAGAACATATTAAGTGATAATATTGGCTTTGTATCCAACTTGTCCGAGAGTGGTCCTCCAGTCAGTACTTGCAATATATTAATCAGCCCCACGAAGTGGATAAAGTTTCGCCATTTAGCTAGTAAAAGAACTCTGGTTTCCCCATCTCCGAGGCAAAAGACCGTAGTCGAGCGAAAATCAAAAATTCAGTCACAGTCTTGTAATTTTGTTAAAAATAATAATCACACTAACGTTAAATACGTTTTGACCCGAGGATTTTGGCGTTAGCGTAATCCGCGAATCAACACGAATATTTATTGCGGTTCAACTAATACAAGATAAAATTAGCGATTTGTTGATTCCTGATTCGTAAATTACCATAACACGGGATTATTACAAAGAATTTCTCGAGGTACTCCCCATACTATTTTACCGTATTATGAATAAGATTTATTAAAATTTAGACGTGGCACGACATCCTGGTAGAAGTGGGCGTAATAAATATAGTATATATGAACGAATGTTTGGCGTATGTGCGAATGAATTCTAAAAGAGTACACTTGATGCTTTTTGAGATGAACTATTTTCAGTGACATCACGATGACGTTTTGTTGACTGCGATTCCGCATTTGCTATTTTCCCCCAAAAATGTAGGTAAATATTGATGAGCAGTGCAATGAGAAGCATTTTTTATTGTAATAATGACCATTTGAAATCTTTCCACAGACATTTCATTAAATATAGCTATCAGATTACTCGTCTACCCATCCCTTATTGGCGATCCGCTCCGCTAGGATTGCCCTTATAATCACTTTTGTCGTTTTGTTGGCGATCCGCTCCGCTAGGATTGCCCTTATAATCACTTTTGTCGTTTTGTGTGTGTGTGTGTGTGTGTGTCTGTGTGTGTACATTTCCAGTGTTCCAGTGTTCAC